AGATGTGTGTTGCAGACAACAAAACTGAATGGAGTTGGAGATCTGAAGAGATATTTGACATCAGACATGGAGATGCAGAGTTGAGAATTTGCCCATCTAGTTTTTGGTTTTATTTTGGTTCAGTATTTCCTCACTATACTTCTTTTCCACCTTTTTGGAATAGTATTATATACTTGGTGCCATTTTATGTTGTAGGTATGTGATCTGATTTTTTTGATTTTGATTTTATAGGAAGTTACAGTTAAGAGATTATCATGAGTTTCAAAAGAGACTTTGAACTTTGGACTTTTAAACAGTGGTGAGGAGAGCACCAGCCATGGAGACTTTTGAAGTCGTTATCATGAGTTTCAAAAGAGACTTTGAACTTTGGACTTTTAAACAGTGGCGAGGAGATTATCAACCATCGAGACTTTTGAAGTCAGACTGAATGTATTTTTGCATTATGATGTAGCTACAAGCCTATGGGGGACAGGAAGTGGAATGTGGTTGATGAATAAGAATGGCTCCCATAGACTCATATATTTGATTGCTTAGTCATCAAGGAGTGCAACTATTTGAAAGGATTAGGAAGTGTGGCTTTGTTGGAGGAAGTGTGTTGTTATTGGTGCGGGGAGGGGGGCACAAGGCGGGCATCGGTGTGGGATTTGAGATTTCAGAAGCCCAAGCCAGGCCCAGATGCTATCTTCCTGCTACCTGTGGATTAAGATGGAGAACTTTTAGCTACTTCTCCAACACCTGGTTGCCTGCATGCCACCAAGCTCCCTGACATGAAGATAATGAGCTATTTAAACATCTGAATCTGTAAGCCTTCCCAAATTAAATGCTTTCTTTTATAAGCATTGCCATGGTCATGTTGTCTCTTCACAGCAATAGGACACTGACTAAGATAGTGAGCTTGTCTTACCAACTAGTCGGGTCTGTTTTCCATGATGTAGCCCTGGGGCTCTGGAAGCAGACACTTAGAGTACTTGCCTTAAGCAAGGTAGAAAGTAAGGAATGACAACTGAAGTTGTCTCTCTGAACTTCACAAATGGTAGCTTGTGCACACCCACACATTCACAAGAATATGTTAGAATACTATATACACATACAAACAAAAAATTCATGAGATTTTCAAGAATAAAATTTGTACACTGCCTAAATAGTTGATAATACAAAGATGCTATTATTTCATTAAATATGCTAATAGTATTTAAAAATTCCTTATCACTTAGAAATTCACATTGAAATATTTATAGGTGGCATGTAGAATGCCTGAGAAATGAGCCTCACAATAGCTCATCAGAGAGTTTCTGAGACTATAACTGGAATAATTTGTGATGCTATGAACTTTAGGAATGAGTGTCTTGAGGACACATAGTGTAGTACTATTTTCCCTAGGTTGTATGTATTCAAAATTTTCCAAGTAAAGAGTTAAAACAATAAGTGAAGAACCATCTGGGAACCTTTGAAAAACATACATATGTGGGTCCTGGGCTGGCTATTTTTATGCCAACTTGATTCAAGCTAGAGTCACTGAAAAGAAGGGAGACTTAATTGAGAAAAAAAACCTCAATAAGATTGGGCTATCGTCAGGCCTGTAGGACATTTTCTTAATTAGTGATTGATAGGGGGCACCACAGCCCACTGTGGGTGGGACCACAACTGGATTCTGTAAGAAAGACTGAGCAAACCATGGAGAGCAAACCAGTAAGCAGCATCCCCTCCATGGTCTCTGTATCAGTTCCTGCCTCCAGGTTCATGCCCTGTTTGAGTTCCTGTCCTGACTTCCTTTGATGATGAACAGTGATATGGAAGTATAAGTCAAATAAATCCTTTCCTCTCCAGTTTGTTTTGATCATGATGTTTCATCATAGCAATATTTTCTGAAACTAAGACAGGTCCCATACTAAATAATTCTGAATTAATCTGAGTTTGGCTGTGGTGGGGTGTCAGTCATGTTCTTTAAATTCTATAGAGGTTCCAGGGTTAAGAAAAGAGCATTGATATGGATCAATAGGATTAACATAGTAAACACAGAAAATTTTACCAAAAGCAATCTACAGATTCACTGCAATCCCCATTAAAATTCCAAAACAATTCTTCACAGACCTAGAAAGAACACTACTCAACTTCATATAGAAAAACAAAACAAAACAAAAAAAACCCAGGATAACTAAAACAACCCTGTATAATAAGGAGGTTTTGCTATCACTGACTTCAAGCTCTATAATAGAGCTATAGTAATAAAAACAGCCTGGTATTGACATAAAAACAGACAGTAGGACCAATAGAATCAAAGACCCTGATATTAATCCACACTCCTATGAACACCTGATTTTTGACAAAGAAGCTAAAAATATAAAATAGAAAAAGAAAGCATCTTCACAAATGGTTCTGGCATAACTGGATGTCAGCATGTAGAAGACTGCAAATAGATTCATATCTATTCTCGCCCCCCCCCACAAAACTCTAGTTCAAGTGTATCAAAGACCTCAACATAAATGCAGTTATACTGAACCTGATAGAAGAGAAAGTGGGAAGTATCCTTGAATGCATTAGCACAGGAGACAACTTCCTGAACATAACACCAGTAGCACAGACACTGAGATTGACAATAAATAAATGGGTCCTCTTGAAGCTGAAAAGCTTCTGTAAGGCAAAGGACAAGGTAAATAAGACAAAATGGTAGCCTACAGAATGGGAAAAGATCTTCACCAACCCCACATCTGACAGAAGGCTGCTCTCCAGAACATTTAAAGAACTCAAGAAGCTAGACATCAAAATACCAATAATCCAATTAAAAATGGGGTACATATTTAAACAGAATTTTCAACATAAGAATCTCAAATGGCCAAGATACACTTAAAGAATCCCTAGCTATCAGGGAAATGCAAATCCAAACAACTGAGATACAATCTTATACCTGTCAGAATGGCTAAGATCAAGAATACTGAGAACGCTTATGTTGGAAAGGATATAGAGTAAGGGGAACACTCCTCCACTGCTAGTAGGAGTGCAAACTTGTACAGCCACTTTGGAAATTGATATGATGGCTTCTCAGAAAACTGAGAAGCAATCTACCTGAAGACCCAGAAATACCATTCTTGGGCATATACCTAAAGGATGCTCAGTCATAACACAAGAACACTTACTTAACTGTGTTCATAGCAGTGTTAGTTATTCATAATAGCCCCTACCTGGAAACAACCTAAATGCTTCTGAACCCAAGAATGGGTAAAGAAAATGTGGTCAGTGGAAAAACAAGTAAGCAACAAACAAAAACACAAAACAAAACAAAACAAACAAAAAATAGTGATGCCATGAAATTTGCAGGCAAATGGATGGAACTAGAAAAAAGTTCTGAATGAGGTAATCCAGACCCAGAGAGATAAACATGGTATGTACTCACTCATAAGTGGATATTAGCTGGAAAGTAAAGGACAACCAGGCTATAATCCATAGCCCCAGAGAGGCTAGGTACCAAGAAGGGCCCAAAGAGGAACTTACGGATTTCCCTGGGAAGGGGAAATAAAAGAGATCTACTGTGTAAACTGGGGGTGGCAGATGGGGATGAGAACATGAAGGATATGGTTGGGTGGGTTGGGGTAGATGAAGGGGGAGAGTAATGAAAGAGATGTTTTAATGGGGGAGCACTTAGGTGTTAGGGAGAAACCTGGTGCCAGGGAAACTCCCAGGAATTCACAGAAATGACCCCAGCTAAGACTCTTAGCAACAATGGAGAGGGTACCTGAACTGTCCTTCTCTTGTAATGAGATTGGTGACTACCTAATTGTCATCAGAGAGCCTTCATCCAGTAACTGATGAAAGCAGATGCAGAGATCCACAGCCAAACACTTAACTGAGCTCCTGGAGTTCTGTTGAAGAGAAGAAGGGAGGGGTTATATGAGGTGGGGGTCAAGATAGTGACAGGAGAGCTGGCCTGGGCTCATGGGAGCTCCCAGACTTTGGAGGAATAGCTAGGGAGACTTCATGGGACCCATCGAAGGCCCTCTGCATGTATGTGTCAGTTGTGTAACTTGGTCTGTTTGTGGGGCTTCCTAGTAGTGGGAACAGGACCTGTCCTTGGTGCTTGAGTTGACTTTTGGGAACCTATTTCCATGCTGGGTTGCCTGGCCCAGCCTTGATGCAGGGGAGGAGCTTGGTCCTGCTTCAACTTGATGTACCGTGATTCCTTGACTCTTATGGGAGGCCTGCCCCTTTCTGAACATAGAGGAGGAGTGAATGGATGCGGGGTAGATAGGAGGTGGGTGGAGGAAATGGCAGGAGAGGAGTGAGAGGAAACTGTAGTCATATGTAAAATAAATGAAAGAATAATAAAAAAGAACATTGAACACTCAATAATATGTATAATCGGAGTTTGTTTAAAAATATGCATGTGGCTATTTTCAACATTAGTGGGGATTCATTACCAATGAGCAGCTTTCTCCACAGAGGGATCGTGGGATAGCTCTTTATTTACTTGACAATTTGTGCTGCTGCTGCTGTTGCTGTTGCTGTTTGTCTATTTGAGACAGTATTGCACCATGTAGCTCAGACTGGCCTGGAACTCACTATGTAGTCCAGTCTGTAGTCTTGAGAACATTTCAAAGACAAGGCAGTAGACTGGGCAGAGTTGGAGGAGCAGGAAGCAGCACCAGTATCAGTCAAGGGGAGTGTGGAAGGGGACCTTTAAGAGGCTCACTTTGGGATTCTGGAGTGGGACTCATCTCTGAAGTCTCACCAAGTGGCTGGGAAAACAATGGGCTCCAGTGGCACCTTTGATTCCAGGCCTTGATGAATGGGAGCTGTTCTAGTTTCCCTTATGCAGTCAGTGCGCAGGGGTTGAAGTTGGCCAGGCAACCTTATGTTTTGCTGTAGGGCTACTGCCAAGCTGTGTGCATCGCAGAGTGTTGTGAGCCCTGCTCCTTATACATTCCCCTACAAGCATAAGGAAAGGGAGTCTGTTCAGAAGGTTTGAGAAGAGCTCTGTTTCCTCCACTACCCCCTGCAGGCCAGCCATGGAACTGTTCTGGATGCCACTGCTGTTGGTGGCTGCTGGCCTCTCTGAGGTCCTTGGCTCACCTGGGATAGACACAGGCCTCAACATTTCCCAGCCTGTGCACATTATGGAGGATCATAATTTAATGGTGCTGACTCCTGCAGGCCTGGCGCAGACACTGAATGAGACCCGCTTCCTAATGGTGATTTTCTGTGAGTATATTGGGCTCTGATAATGAAGGGTCATTGATTTGGGGGACCACAGGAGTTCTATATACTATCAAATTCATAGAAAGACACAAAAATACTGTAGGTACTCACAGCTGGGGAAAGGCCTGTCCCCACAAGAATTCAAGCTCTGCTCACTCAGTTGTTTTTATCACAGTGGAAGGCCCAGGACAACTTTCTCCTCCTCCTCTCTCTCTCTCTCTTTCTCTCTCTCTCCTTTTTTAACCCTCCACCACTGGGCTGTACCCTTAGCTCCCACTTTTACATTTTTTAATTACTCTGATAGCAGTATGAACAATTCCACAATTCTAAGTATTTGAATACTTTCCTTCACACCAGCAGAGATTTTGTCATCTAAGAGACACTAAATTAAACTCATTACGTTTCTATTGTTGATTCTGCCAATACACAATTGAATTCAGAATGAGATCCTGAAATCTGATAGGCCTTCTAAGGTGACCTTTGGGAGAATCATTTTGGGGAGAATTATAAATGTTTCCCTCAAAGGTAAATGGGCTCTTTATGCAGGAGAGTTTTTAGGGACATCTCAGTGACTCTAAAAACCTTGGCCAGTCTCTCACCCTTCTGAGGACTCAAAAACTCAAGGGTGATGCTCAGTGGGGACTTCCTTTCTCAGGTCTCAAATGCTGCCTGTGTCTAAAACAAACTTCAGTGTTTGGGGTTTGGTTTTGACCACTTGTCTCTTCTAACATTCTGTGTGCACTGATGACACCATCAAGCAACTTCTTGCCAAAGTCAGAAACCTCAAGGTCATCCCCAAATTGCTGTAGCCTCATCTAGAAGGTATCTCTATATCCTATGGGTTCTTCATCACAAACTCTGTGGTCCCCAGTTCTCTCCACACCCTCCATCACTGCCTCTGTTTCATTCCCACCACTCTCCACCTGAAACCCTACGTAGCTACTCCATGGATTCCATTCTCCTTCCAATGTGTTCTCCATAAAGCACCCAAAGAGACTTGTTTCAGGACTGTATCTCTACTTGTCAAAATGGAATATTCTGGCTCAAGTATCTAGGTGTCTCATCACATACTTTGCTTTGTAACATCTGTCTTCCACTTCTGCACTTGGACTGTGAGTTCAAGTTTCTTGTGAGGAAGCTTTGTTCATTCCCATTTAGACTGGGTAGGAATCTTTCCCAGTCTGCTTTGCTTTCCTTCTAGGAGTATTTGTCACATCATATCAAAAGTACTTAACTTTCATGCTCCATGGAGTCATGTCACAAACCTGACCCATGTCTTGATCCCTGGAACTGACACTGTTGGAACAAGGTAGGTCTCCACACATGTCAAGGGAACGAATGAACTAATGATATTTTCTTTGGGTCTTCCTTTTCTCTGTGACAATTACCCTGAATGAGTCAAAGAGAGAAGGAAAGGCTACTTTTGGTGGAAAGTGACCAAGAAAAGATTAGCAGTTGTCATTTGAGCCATTTGCCAATTGTCCCTAAAGCAAAGGTGGCAAGAATCTGTCTTGAAATTACAGTAGATATTGATGGTGACCGTGATGAAGATAGCCATTAGGACTGGGATAATGGTGATAATTAGTGATGATGGAGGTAATAATAGAGATGGCAATGACATAATGATGGCAATGGTGATAATTGTCCAGGTTAGCCTTGATTGCCAACTTGACTTAGCCTAGAGTCATCTGAAAGGAGAAGCCCCAGTTGAGAAATTACTTAGGTCATGTTGGTCTGTGGGCATGTCTGTGAGGTGTTGTATTAACTGTGAATTGATACAGGAGGGCTCAAACTACTGTGGAATGTATTGCCATTCCTTGGGCAGGTGGTCCTAGGCAAGCTTGTAAGCAGCATTTCTCCATGGTTTATGACTTAGTTCCTCTTTGAGTTCCTGTTCTGACTTTCCTCAGTGATGGATTATGACCCAGAAGTATAAGGCAAATACATTGTTTTTCTCCCAAGTTGCTTTTGGTCCAAGCCTTTTAGTATAGCAGAAAAAGAGTAGCTAATATAGAATAGAATAATTGTAGAGATAGTAATGTCAATGGTGATGATCATAGAGATGATGGTAAAGATGATAGATATGATGATGATGATGATGATGGTGATGATCATAGAGATGATGGTAAAGATGATAGATATGATGATGATGCTGCTGCTGCTGCTGATGATGATGATGGAATATTGATAATGATGTAGATGATGGTGGTGGTTGTGATGGAGATGCTGAGAGGGATGAAGATTGTGGTGATGATGACAGCTGCCATGTTTTTAACTATGGCAGTGATGATTTTAATGGACATTTATCAAACATCTGCACTGGAAATATTGTACTCAGTACCATGGTTCCCAACTTACTCATGAAACAAATTTCAGAAAGGTTAGATAATTTGCCTAGAGTCACACAACTGGTATGAATTTAAAACACAGTCTTCCATCCAAACTACTGGTAAGTCCATCCGACATCACCACATTGACCTCCAAGAAATATACTTATTTACTCATAGGTGTTACTGGAATGCTTGGTATGCCCCAGATGTATTCTCAGCACTGAGAAAGGAGTGGTTAACTACATTGCTTTCCTGGAACTTACAGACAGGAGAGGAGACTCAAATGCTAAGCAGATCCATGAGTGAAGTATGTGGTGTGTCTTGTGGCTAAAAATGCTATGGAGAAAAGAGGGGGTGGGATGCGATAGAAGTGTGTGAGGTCTATGGCTGTGTCAACACGATCTCTCTTACCTCTGTTTCAAACACCCCAGAGCCCTGGGATAAGTATGGTTTCTCTAAATGCTCCACCGTTTAGCAACTATTTCAGCGCTTCTCTTGTCTGAGCATATGCATACATAAACTCAGCAATCATGAGATCAGCATGGCCAGGTCCACTGGGAAGCTGGGAGAAGCCACAGAGCAGAGGCCAGAGCTTGCTGCTGGTGATGGAGAGGTGTATCAAAGATGGTGATGGGAGAAGCATCAATCTGTGAGGGAGGCAGAAAGTCTTTGCTTCCCATCCACATGTGGGGACTTTAATGAGAATGCTCACTCACACTTAGGTTCTATTGCTGAGCCGGTGACTGGCAACTGAGCCTGAGCCAGCTGTCCTGGGGCTCAGCTTCCCCAGCTGTGCTTTACAAAACACGTATCTGTTACCGTAGCCATACCCACAGCCAGAGGTGAGCTGCACTCTCTTCAAGTGCTCCAGATGGACAAGAGGTTTGGAAAGGATAGAACATTCTGGCTTGGAAGGGTATCAGTTTCCCCCAGCCCTAACAGCTTACCGGTCTCAGACATGTGGCAGCGAGGACCTGCATTCTGGCAATGTCATCAGGAGTTTTACCATTCCATCTCCCCCCTCCCACTCCAGCCAGGACAGCCTATCCCCATGGCCAAGGTCAGTTCTCTGGGGCTATTTTCAGTAATGAGCTCCTCTCCTCCCTCGCTGCCCAGCTGTGTGAACCACCAAGGATTCCAGAGTACCAGACACTGTAACAGAGTCTCTTTAGCTATCTATTCCCAAAGTGGTGGGGTCAGAGAGGACAGTGAGCATCCAGTGCGCCTCACCCACCTGCTCCTCACACTTCACCTACCTTTGCCTGAGAGAGTTCCCAGCCCAGCCATGGTCGGAGGGGCTCAATGACCATTTAGTTCCAAAATATTCCACCAGATGGCGCAAATGAGCCACATCACTCGCCCTTACTTTCTAACTAAAGGGGTGGGGAGGTTATCATTAACAACAATAGCTATTAAAATGCATTATGTCCTTATTAGGTGTCAGGCATTAACATAAGTGTTTTCACATGCCTACTGAAAGTTTAAAAAACAAACAAACAAACAAACCAGGACCTCTTCCGCCAGCTTGAGTATATCCTGTTGTCAGGACCT